ACCAGTTGTTCTTGAATTGAATCAGACGCACTTACGCATGCATGGTCTTACTATGTTCCTCAAGCGTTAGAAAAAGCCTTCATGGTGTGATGTCTGATGTTTCACGTGCGGACAGTAACTCATGGAACTTAGACTCACTCAAGTCAACCTTGTTCCTTTGGCTCATTTGTAAAAATAATTTGGTGAAGTTTTCTTTAAAACCTTTCAATTGACATCAAGTATATATTGTATAATCCTTCTTTTCCATTCTTAAGGACACTCGGATTGATCAAAACTCAAAAAGACTTTGGCATCTCCTCTCTCATATGGATGTTACTTGGTTACTTTGGGTTCGTGGACTTGGACAGTGAGCCTTAGCCGCCCCAACTAAAGTTTTTAATTACAATGTTAACTTTGTGCGTTGATTAATTAATTTTATGTTCAGGAAACAAGAACGTTTTCATTCTGGAATTGTATATAATACTAGCTATGAACTTTATCCATAAGAGAACATTGTCCGATGTGATTTGTAGTGAAAATTGAAAGAGATTGGAATTTAGGAAAACACACACATAAACATGTATCAAATTCAATAAATTATGATTCACGCTTACAGGTTTTTTTAAAAATAATCTGGTGAATGATTAAGAGAACAAAAGCAGGTAGGTCAATCATGAAATGTTTTATTTTGACACATGTTGAATGTGAAAGGTCCACAGCCACCAATAAAACTGGTCAAGCCCTACATTATCCAAAACTCCTTACTCACCTTACATTTACTAATTATATAAAAAAACGAATTAGTCAAACAAAATTTCGAGTTAACATCTAAGAGTAGTGGTAGTAAACTTATAAACGTTTGAGAGTACTTTGGAGTTCAATTTGTTCTAATGGTTAATAAAGTAGTTAAGAAATAATTGGGAGATTAATTCACTTAAGCTACTAGTTTATACCAGTCTACCAACTTTTCCAGTTTTGACAATATTTACCACGTGGCCATGAAGCATGCACAGCATCATTGTCAGGTTTAACAAATATATACTACAGTACTATAGTTTATCTATAAGCAAACAAGATCGTTTCGTGGCAGCTTCGGGTCAAAAATAAAAAAAGATTGGTCTAGTTCAAGTCAAATTTGAGTAGCTTTTTTAGTAATCAATGGGTCGGCGAAATGTTTTCTAAAATAATATTTTCATCTAGATGTACACTACTCCTTACTACAATAGTGTCCAATACTATAATACTCAAATTTCATGTTTCTCTCCTATCAAAGTAAATCGAGTTTTCAAATAGTAAAAAAGAAAAAGAAATAATATGTATAAGATAAGAGAGAATAATCTTGTTACAAAAACTAAGTAAATCAAACAATTGAATTACAAACTTAAGAACATAAATATAGCCATGAGATGAATGTATTGAATCTATATAAATTTTATGTTTAGCTTCATTTTTTTTTGTTTATTTTGGTGAGATTTGATTACTAAAAAGTACTATTATTCTAAAATAATGAGAAAAAAGTGGAACAAATATTCGTGATGTTGACGTGGCAGATCGAGTGGTGTTAATATTCTAATATTATCAAGTGGTTTGTGTAATAAGCAAATGGGTGGTCGAACCTGACCGTATTCTTGGACATATTCAACTGTAGCATCGGTCCACACAGCCCTTATTACCTCACCTTTCCTAACTTTTTATTTATTTCTTTTCTATTCATATTTTTTTTGGTCTTATTATAATAAACAAATTAATTGATGACAAAAAATTAATAATAATAAACTAATTACTATTTTAACTCTGCCAAAACATAAAAATATGTTACAAAGTACAAATATGTTATGTTTTATGAAAATTTTTGATTTTCCCTTTGGTATGAGAATACGAAATAATTGCATCATCCACCATATATAGTCCAAACAATATTAACACAATTGCAAATATTTATATGTTTTCATGTTTTGTTCGATTATATTAAAATTCAAAACAGATTACATTTTTATGAGTTAAACCGGCGAGCTTAAAGCCTTTCAAGTTATAATCACTAATGAGAAAAAGTATATATTATGAAATTAAAAAAGATCATAATAATATAAACCTGGATTAAAAGTAGTATATGTTTAATAATAAAAGAAAAAGATTAGTATCTAATTATATAATAGTATACACTGACTCTGTACTATACCAATAAGGTAACCTCGTTATAAATTATGTCACACTAATATTTAATGTTTAATCACATAATCATACACTGAATTAAATTAACTAAAATACTAATACCCGTCCAGGTACATAATAATATTCGCAGATACGGTCCTTAATTACTATAAACTCTATAAAACCAATCCAATCACCAAATCTCATTTTCCAATTGAATTGGGAACGAACCATACCATACCAAAGCTCTTCTCCTCCATTAGAGCTCAAAGCTTGAAGAAGCAGCCTTAGCCTTAGAAACTTTCAAAAATGGCTTCCATGGCTGCCGTATTAAGCAAAACTCCATTCCTATCTCAACCACTCACCAAATCATCCCCAACCTCCGATCTCCCCTTCGCCGCCGTATCCTTCCCTTCGAAATCCCTACGCCGTCGCGGTGGCGTCGGAGGCGTAGGATCAATCCGAGCAGGGTTAATCGCGCCTGACGGAGGTAAGCTTGTGGAGCTTATCGTTGAAGAGCCGAAGCGGCGGGAGAAGAAACACGAGGCGGCGGAGCTGCCACGCGTTGAGCTAACGGCGATTGACTTGCAATGGATGCACGTGTTAAGCGAAGGCTGGGCAAGTCCACTCGGAGGTTTCATGAGAGAATCCGAGTTCCTCCAAACTCTTCATTTCAACTCGCTCCGTCTTGATGACGGATCCGTTGTTAACATGTCTGTGCCTATTGTTCTCGCTATCGACGATGAGCAGAAGGCACAAATCGGCGAGTCTAAACGTGTCGCTCTTGTTGATTCCGATGGTAACCCCCTCGCTATCCTCAGCGAGTAAGTTCTTCTTCGTCCTCATCTTCGAATCAGATTGGTAGTAGATTCATGGAGAAGAAACTGAGATTTGAATTTTGATTTTAGCTTATCTGTGTTGGTATGATTGGACTTAGACCAGATCTGATTCGTTTGACATAGACACAAAAGCTGAAAACTCTGTTTATGCATCACTGTAGAGTTTTAAAAGTCTCATTTGATTTGCCTATAGAGTCTAGAGTACTTTTCATTTTTTACTTTTTTTTTGTCTTGAGATTAGTCAGTGATATATGATGCATGATTGAATTTGGATATGGGTTTATAATTGGTTACTCAATACTTGTTTGTTTCTGGTTTTATCAGCATTGAGATTTATAAGCATCCAAAGGAAGAAAGGATAGCTAGAACTTGGGGTACGACTGCTCCAGGTTTGCCTTATGTAGAAGAGGCGATAACCAATGCTGGAAACTGGCTTATTGGGGGTGATCTTGAGGTTCTTGAGCCAGTTAAGTACAATGATGGACTTGACCGTTTCAGGCTTTCGCCTGCTGAGCTACGAAAAGAGTTGGAGAAGCGTAATGCGGATGCTGTCTTTGCTTTCCAGCTGAGGAATCCGGTTCACAATGGTCACGCTCTTCTTATGACTGATACTCGTAGGAGACTTCTTGAGATGGGATACAAAAACCCTATCCTTTTGCTTCATCCGTTAGGAGGGTTCACAAAGGCTGATGATGTTCCTCTAGATTGGAGGATGAAGCAGCACGAAAAGGTAAAACAAAAACTTTATTGACTGTGTATCGCTAGAGTGAGGAACAACAATTGCTGTATACTAAATGGGTTTATGAGTCTAAAACAGGTGCTAGAGGACGGTGTTCTTGATCCAGAGACAACAGTGGTTTCGATCTTCCCGTCACCTATGCATTACGCTGGTCCAACAGAAGTGCAGTGGCACGCAAAGGCCAGAATCAATGCTGGTGCTAACTTTTACATTGTGGGTCGTGATCCAGCTGGAATGGGTCATCCCGTAGAGAAACGTGATCTTTACGATGCTGATCATGGAAAGAAAGTTCTAAGCATGGCACCAGGACTAGAACGCCTCAATATCCTTCCTTTCAAGGTAAATAAAAACCAACTTCAAAATGATTCACACTTTTTATAATGGTAAATGTTGAGATCTGATTTCTTGGTTCAATATCACAGGTTGCTGCATATGACAAGACGCAAGGGAAGATGGCTTTCTTCGATCCATCAAGGCCTCAAGATTTCTTGTTCATCTCTGGCACTAAGGTAATCTACCAGTCCCCAAGAGAACTACTACAGTTTTAAACTCTTCATTGTATACTTAATCTAACAAAGATCTAATGTCTTTCGATTTTTCAGATGCGCACATTGGCAAAGAACAACGAAAACCCACCAGATGGGTTCATGTGCCCAGGTGGATGGAAAGTTCTGGTGGATTATTATGAGAGCTTGACTCCAGCTGGTAATGGTAGACTACAAGAAGTGGTTCCGGTTTAAGACAAAAGACAAAACTGTCGCTTCTGCTTCGTTTCAAGTTGTAACGTTTGTGTTGTGAGCCTTGTGGCAACAAGTCATTGTTGTATAGGGGAGAAAGCCTATGTATAATCAGGCCGGACCTTTTTCCAAATAAATTATGGATAAAGACTGTTTTGTTTTGCAAAACAATTTACGAAACTTGTAATATTTGGTCCTGAAACTTTGTACCATATGATTGAAACGATTGTGTTTATATATAAAAAAACAGCCAAGTAAACTTTGTACTACAGACTACAGTAATGGATGCATGAATCTTTCATTGGACTCCATAAAATCAAGTGAAATAGCCATATAAATTAATGGATGAGTAATGTGTGTGGCCCATTTTTAGTAATGGGCCTGTATAGGGCCTCTAAATTAGGAAACTGACTTAACGCGTGTTCTTGACGTCGACGGACAGTGTTGTCTTCTCCGACGCTTCGTTGATCCTCGGCAAGTGGCAATTGGCGTCTATTTTCAGGAATTGTTCCATTACAGCTTCTAGTTGCGTCTCTCACTACGTTCAGGTTAGAGTTTTTGATTTGTGAAACCAAATTTTTCTCAGTAGATTCAGTCTTGGGGTTTGTGGAGAACGATGATATTATAACGTTTTGGGAATACAAACTGGTTCATGCATGGTGGTATATCAATGTTGGTTTGATGGTTGATGAAAAAGTCGGAAACTTTGTGATTCGTCCCTATTGTTGAGTTTCATTTATATGGTTTACATGTATGCAAAGTGTTTGTTAAAATGCCTGAAAGAAAACTTAAAGTTGATCATTTTTGGTAAAAATTGATAGCATGTTTCTGTAATATGCATAATCTTCAAATCAGAATGTGATTGGCAACATATTTCACAGTTTCAGGCTGGAACAAAAATGTTCATCAGAGTCAAACTGCCATGGGATGTTATGATTGCAGCTGAAGATATGGACACTGGGCTCACGCTCCAGAGAACTATTGTCGTTCATCTACTCGATGCCTTTGCTACCAAGAAAGCAACGAAAAATCTTGGATACTTCATAACACCCACAATTTTGGAGACAATCGGCGAGGGAAAGATCAAGGAGCAGACTGGCGAAGCTGTCTTTCCCGTGGTTTTCAACGGAATCTGCTTTAAGATGTTTAAAGGAGAGGTTCTTCATGGTGTGGTTAGCAAGGTGCACAAGCTTGGTGTCTTTTTGAGATCTGGCCCTTACGAAACCATTTACCTATCACACATGAAGATGTCCGATTACGAGTTCATCCCAGGAGAGAACCCGGTTTTCATGAATGAGAACATGTCCCGGATTCAGATCGGCACCAGAGTTCGTTTCATCGTATTAGATACCCAGTGGAGAGAGGCAGAGAAAGACTTCATAGCTTTGGCCAGCATCGGATAAGACAATCTTGGCCCGTTCTAAGGATTGTAATCTGAGTTTTTCCACTCTATATATATGCTATGTAAAAATGCTTTTCAATGAAATTGATCAATCTTTATTTAATAAATCGGTTATACATATTGAAAGAAAAAACAAATCAATGCTTCATAATATACATACTAATGTAAGATCTAATCAAGAGCCTCTTCACGATCTCTTCTTCCATTTCAGGTAGCTGAAGAAGTGTCTCTCTGGAACAGGAACTGACTTTACTAACCATCCAATCGGCCATGACACCGCCGCAATTGCAATGCAAACTCCCCATTGACCCCAATTTAGCCTCTCAGTGTCAGCAAATTTCTTCAGAAACTCAACCATCACAACTTGCAAAACCACAGTCACAACTATGATCCCAATGAAGAGCCTGTTCTTGTGTAACCCCTTGAATACATTCTTCTTCTCCAAACTCCTTGCGTTAAACTCGTTGAACACCTGACAAAGCACAAAGGTATTGAAGATCAGAGTGTTCTTCACCTTCTCTGTCACATCGAAGATCGATCTTCCTCTAAACTGAAGCACCAAGAGAACAGAGATCTGGTAAAACGCTTGAGCCAATAGATTCCTCCACATGATGTTCGTGATCAATGGCGAGACTCTCCCTATCGGTTTCTTATTCATAAGATCATTTGTTGGTTTCTCTGTAGCTAAAGCCAATGCACCAAGTGTGTCCATGATCAAATTCACCCACAGTAGTTGAACGGCTGTCAATGGAACTTCTCCAGCTGAAACCGCGGCCACGAAGTTGATCACGAGAGCTGCCACATTGACAGTGAGCTGAAACTGAATGAATTTCTGAATATTGTTGTACACGCATCTTCCCCATTTCAAAACCGTTGCAACAGAGGCAAAGTTATCGTCTAGGATCACAATATCGGAGCTCTCTTTAGCTACTTCTGTGCCTTGAATCCCCATAGAAAGTCCAATATCAGCTTCTTTCAATGCTGGTGCATCGTTAGTGCCATCTCCAGTAACGGCCACAACATGGCCTAGCTCCTTGAGGCATTTCACCATGAGAAACTTATCAAACGGTGAAGATCTCGCCATTACTTTGATTCTTTCGACTTTCTTTAACCTTTCTTCTTGACTGTAGTTTCTAAACTCTTCTCCTTCTAAAACAGCTTCACTATTCATCTCATCTTCAGATGTCAAGATTCCGCACTCTACAGCGATTGCTCTGGCCGTGAAAATGTTATCTCCAGTGATCATTTTGATGTTTACACCGGCGAATTGACAATCCTCTACAGCTTTCTTCACTCCAGGCCTACATGGATCTTTGATTCCAACTATCCCAAGTAAGCTCAAGTTCTCTTCTTTTAACTTCTTGATGTCTTCATTGTCTTCTGAATACGCAAAGGCTATGCAACGGAGTGATTTAGCTGCCATGGATTGGATAATCTTCTCGAACTGAATCATATCATCTTCTTTCATCTCTCTCACAACTCCAGAACCATCATAGAACGTAGAACACATAGCTAGAATCTTCTCAGCAGCTCCTTTCCAATGTACAACATTGATTTGTCCATTCTTCTTCTTCATCAACACGCCACTTCTCTTCTTCTCTGAATTGAAAGCTTCCACATGAACAACATCGTGTTGTTCAATCACTTCCTCCATATCCATCTTCAATTCCTCAACCGCCCAGCTCAGAATCGCTTTCTCTGTTGGACTACCGGAGAACTCATACTCTGTTCCTGACTTAGCCTTAAACACACTCCCTGTAGTGTTCATTGCAACTCCTTGATGAAACATTTCAACAACTTTCTGAGACACAGAAGAAGCTTTCCCTGACTCAAGACCGAACCAGAAATCGGTTACCTTCATTTGATTAAGCGTCAAAGTACCCGTTTTATCGGTACAGATAACCGTTGCAGAGCCCATAGTCTCACAAGCAGAGAGCTTTCTCACCATTGCTTGATCTTTCATCATCCTCTTCATGGAATATGCCAATGTCAATGTCACAGCTAATGGCAATCCTTCTGGTATCGCAACCACGATGATTGTTACCGCTGCTGCAACCATCTCAACTACAGCGTTCACGATTTCATCGCTCTTCGTCTTCTTCCCGTTATACTCGCGGTTTCCGATCTCATCTTTCGTGTTTCCCGTGAAGTAACGGATTAACAGAACCAAAAGAACAAAGAAAGCTACAAGTAAACCAACTTTACCTATCGAAGAAGTAAGCTTGTTGAGACGAGTCTGCAATGGAGTTTGCTCGTTCGTGTCACGCGAGATGTGACTCATCATTTGTCCCCAAGCAGTGTTCATCCCAACCGAAGTAACCGTCATTTTACCAAACCCATCAGCGATTTTAGTCCCGGAAAACAAGAATGTGTTCCCTGTTAAGCTAACCTCGACATGGTCACTTTCTCCTGTCATGCTTGATTCATCAACGTGTAATGAATGTCCTTCAACGAACACTCCATCTGCTGGAACTTGATCTCCGATGTTCAAGCAAACGATATCTCCAACGACAATGTCAAAGATCGAAATCTCTTGACGGCGACCGTTTCTAACAACATCAATCTTGATGTTGCTACTTACTTTAGAGAGTTTATCAAACTGTCTGTTCTGTCTGAAGTTACTGACCGCAGAGACAGCTACCACCAAGAAAACAGCAACGTATATACTTCCTCCATCGTACCATCCTTCTTTCAATCCATGCTCTTTGATACCAAACCCAAGAGAGAGCGTTGCACATACGAGAAGGATGAGAATCGTAAGGTCCTTGAACGCTTCCACCACAAAATAGAAGAGACTCTTCGATGGTTGTCTGGTGTAAGTATTAGACCCGAACGTCAAACGCCTACGTTCAATCTCTTCAGTTTCTTCATTGATCCCAAGACGTGTGTTAGTCTTCAAAGCCGAGACTAAGCCATTAGGACCACCAAGAGACTCAAGTTTCTCTTGGTTCTTGTTCTTGACGAGATCGTTTAAGGTCTCAGTATCAATCTTGAAGTGTTCATCTTCTTGATGGTGATCTAGATCAATGGCGGTGTAGGAAAGAGAACGAGGGAACAAACCTTGTTTTCGGACAGCGTGTTTGGCGCAGTTAAGGAGAGTTCTCGAACAATAGATCTTGATGAACGCTAATTGCCATTTCTTGTTTGGTTTGCTTAAGGTTTTAGGAAGTTGCAAGAGAGCCTCAACGCCCACCACCTTCTTCTCTGCATGATCAGAAACGTTTCTCCGCATTGTTTTTGGTATTTGTTAAACCGAAAATTACTAAACCGAAAAGAAGAAAAAATAAAAACCAGAAACGGTAGAATCTTTTTTTTTTTTTTTTTTTGTGAAAGCGATCGATGAATGAGGAACTGCAAAATAAGAGCTGATGATGTAAATGGATATGATAGTTTCAATTTGGTTTTATAGTTAGTTCATGAGTCGGTCTTTTCGTATCATCTACGAAGTTTCGTAGCAATGACAACGAAAGTCACATATTATGATATTTACCAAAACATCTACGTCATTTAAGGCGATTTAATAAAATATTAATATTAAATATTTGTTTTTAATTGAACGAATCAATAAAGTAATTTAAATTATTAGGATATGTGTATAGTCCGTGTTTATTTCATTTATGTGTCATACCATATCTAACACTCGTTTTCAATATTTAACGCAAAAGTGATATAGTTGGCCTATATATAGTAGTGGTACATATCGACATGCCTACTTTTTTCTATACATATCGTAAATGGAGTATATATAGCATATTCTTTGTTTAACGATTAAGGAATTGAGTTTTGATGATATATTTTAATTCTTTCTATTAACTTCTCCAATATAGTTGATTACTACTACGTACCTTTTGAAAGAGTTCGATACGTGTTGAATTCGAGAATTCATGTCGATCACAAAACAGGCTGATCCTAATTAATATGAGTTCTAATTGTCATTACACACGTAAATATGGTCGATAACATTCTTAAATTAAACGATTATGAATTGAATAAAGAGAAGAGTAAAGCTTAAGTTTTTTTATTGCATTGGTAACCTTTCAAAATATTTACAACAAAGGTGATACATTTATATCAAGCATGAACTATATTACATTTAATTAATAATATGTTTTTAAACATAAACATATTGTTTAAAAAATTTAGAAAATTGTCATTGATATTACTCTTGACCCTACGTTGTAAAATCTTATTTATCCAAAAGTTACGTTTCGGCTTTATTATCTACAAATGAATGACTTAGAATCGTTGTAAAGTAGGAAAGAGTAACTTCGTAACAAAGTTTTATTGTCAGGTGTAGAGAAATTTAAAATGCTATATGCAAAGACTTTACTAATTGTTTTAGTTAAAAATATGACTTTGGAAGATGAAAACCAAAATTTCCATGGTGACTTGTAGTATCTCAAGTCTCAACCATCATAATATATATATGGATTCCTCGTAAGAACCAAATATTGAGCAATATCATTACATTTCTTTCGTATATGTTATGACATAAAGATATGACATCATGAACGAAAACGTAAGCGACAACAAAAGTCGTTAGCAAGTGGAAAAAATTGGCATATTATGGCAGAATAGGGTACATATGGTTATTTTACAATTTGATAATTGATCCAATTTGTAACTAATTTGTGGCTTACCTCATAGCTAAACACATGCGTTTTGTAGCTGATATTTTGTTTAGCTTTTTCATCATCTACTTTTTGTTTATTGGTTTTCAAATTTAGCATTTCGACGATTATAATTGACATTTTTTATAAAACGAATAACTAATACCAGGTTAAGCGAAGGAACGATGGTAAAAAAGAAAAGTATTGAAATTTCAATCTTGTGTTTAATTTTTACTATAATATATTTATATTTGGTTTGGTAAGACTGTCTAAAATATGTCAACAAATGATGTTATTAAATTTACTGGCTTGTGCTTTATACTATGGGAAAAGAATGCTAGATTTCTTCATAATTCGGATAATACCTTATATTTCAAATGCTGAAAGTGACATACATGTCAAATAAACTAAGATTCTATCTAGTCGACAGGTTTTGAACATTTGATATTTCAGCAAACAACTAAAAAGGGTAAAAGTTTTGAAGATCTTACCATCGTTTGCTATGTAATTAAAAAAGTGGACCGACTCTAAAAATAGCCAATACAAAAAAAACAAAGACTTCGTTTGGTCTATTAATGTACGTTAAGAATCCAGAATTGACTTGTATATAGTTTTATAGTCAATAACAAATGACCAAAGATTTTTCCACATTGGATAATATATAAAAAATATGGTACATGCTTGTTCATTTTTGTTTATTATTGCAGAAGAAAAAAGTTAGATGAATTCGACAAAGCGAAACTAAGATTACAAAAAACCGAATATAAACAATTTCGCCTAGACCATAAAAAATCCATCAAGAGTCAAGACTTTGTAATATGATATTAATTCTTTTGTTAACCCTATGTAGAACTACATCAAAGATTCAAGACACCACTAATTAAGTTACTAAAGTCAAGGAATATACCAAATCCTACAAAATCAAACGTAACCAAAGCTGTTAAGAGCTTTTGAGTTAGCTCTGGTTACAATGTTTGGTGCGGCCAGTAAGGTCTGCGCGGTGACCTCTGAATTTTATAAGGTTCTATATTTACATCTGTTCGAGTGTTTTAACGCATAAGTTAAACCTAAAATCATGAACAATAACTACTAAAACAGGTACATAATGATTATATGATTCTACCAAACAGATTGTTTCTGATTTGCAGTAGCATATAATTAATAGCTAATTAAAAATTATGTTAATCATTAAGTATTCAATGGTAAAGGCTATATAGCCAGTTTAAACTCCAAAACTCAAAACTAACTAAACGAACGAAGAACAAAAACACATCAAAACCATAAAAGCTACAATTATATTCATAAAATAAACACTTTCATATCTATAATCTGAAAGCTCACCACAGTCCTCGATCACCACGGGCTTACAAGGCTTCCTTGTTTCACTTACGACCTCCTCCTCAATGCTCTTCATAAGATCCAACCCTTCAACAACTCTACCGAACACAACATGATCACCATCCATCTCCAACCCCTCACTCATGAAGATCTGGAAGTGAGTTCTGTCCGAGTGTGGCATGGAGATGACACCTGGACCTTCGTGGTTCAAGATGAAGTACTCGTTGTCGTCGACCAAACCCTCTTCGTAGAACGACTTGTCTCCGACCATGATATCTCCTCCACACCACATGAGATCAGGAACGATACGGTCGAAGGATGATCCTTTGTAGTGGAGTGGTTTACCACACTTTCCCACGCCTTTCTCGCCGGTACATAGGGTTCTAAAGTTCTCCGCCGTACGTGGAGTCAAGTCAGCGAAGAGCTCTATCACGATCCGACCAGATGGTTTGCCGTCGACGGTCAAATCAAAGAAGACTTTAGGGTTTGCCATTGTCTGATCGGAGATGATGAATATTAGTATTTTAGGGTTTCTATGTGTTTGCACGATTTATAACGTTGAATTAGTTAATTAGATACCATAATGTAGCAAATAGTTTTCAATATTAATAATATTCGATTTTCTTTGTAATTATCTATGTATCTTTTTTTCTCATCCTAGGAAAACAAAATCCAATAGTTATAAAAGGGCTTTATTTAAAGCCCCAAAAAAACAAAAAAAACTTTAAGCAATGTTAAAATCAAACGAATAAAAAAAAATAACAAACGACCAAATAGTATTTGTGAATCCAACTCTTTTAATCCAACTCTTTCGAAACAGAAGCGATGAAACAAACTTCATACAACAAAACTCATAGAAATCATATATTATTTTAGGATGGTTGAACTTAATCAAATAATCATATGGTAGTAAATATTTAGAACATGTAAGTCAATCTAACAGAAACTTAATCATCTATTCTAAATATTTTTTTTTAAAAAAAATTGCATAATTCTAAACATATTAAGAAAACATATTAAAATATCTTTTATACAGTACCTTTAAATTTAATGGGATATTTATTAATATTTATTGAAAATCTAAAACGGCATTTACTTTGAAACGTAGAAATGATCCTAAAACGATATTTTTTATGAAACAAAGAGAATAAGATTTTTCTTTTCAAACCAATTGTTATCATATTGATTTAAAATATTTTTTTTTTCTTTAACACTGAAAACTTTATTAATTACCAGAAAAATCATTGTGAATTACATCAGAAATACAACTTGGAATATGCTGATAATAAGTAAACATAGGAACAACAGAACGCTGAAATTTTGCTAACAAATCAGCCGGGCGATTTGTTTTTCTTGAAACCCAACAATACTCAATATTATGAAATCTTGCCTCCCAACTACGAATTTCGTGAATCCAATTCAAAATATCAAACCGCTGAGAGTTGCCTTTTAAGATGTTCATCAGAATTTGATTATCTCCTTCAAAAACAACTTTTCGATGACCTTTAATCCAGAGATGATGCATAGCAGCTAGGAGACTTTGACATTCTGCTTCAATAGCATTGTTAACAAAAGAACCCGTAGAATGACCAGCCCCTTGAAAAACACCTTGATCGTCCCGAACAACCCAACCAATTGTAGCTTTTATTTGAGAATTCAAAAAACTTCCATCAAAATTGCACTTTAGCCAACCATACCTAGGCCTTTGCCAATTACCACTGAAATTATTGTTGATAGTATCACGAGAAGCATGGCAGGAATTTTTAGTACAAGTTCGCATATCAGCTTTCCACCAATCTTCAGTTTCTTGTCTTGCTTCTCGAAGATCCTTTTGCCAACTACGATGTTTCCTTTGGAAAGTCAGAACATTACGACTTTTCCAAATTTTCCAAAGAATCCAAATTGGCAAGTGGCTGAGAAAATCATATATTCCTTTATGTTTGTGATACTTGAAAATTTCCTTCATCTTCATTTCAATGGGAACATTGGGATCTGTTAAACAAGTTATAGGAACATTGGAAGCTCTCCAAATCTGCAAAACATGAGGACAATTAAAAAACAAATGCTCTGTTGTTTCAATGGCTAGAGTACACCTTTTGCATACTGCATCAGTTGAAATATGTCTCCGAACAAGCTCCTCTCCAGTAGCCAACGCTTTAGACAGCATTCTCCAAATAAAGTGTTTCAGTTTAGGAGCGGTACGAATTTTCCAAATGTCTTTTTTGAGAAGAGGATCACCAGCAGGAGGTCTAACATGGTGGTAATTCTCCGGAAGGTGAGTAGCTAACCAATACCCAGACTTGACAGTGTAGTTACCTTTTTCTGTATAATGCCAACCCAGATAATCTCTATTCTGACTTGGGCTAATTTTGATAGCAAGAATATGAGGAATATCATCCGGATGAACAAAATCTCTTATAACATCTTCATTCCAACCAGTCTTAAAAGGAAGAAAAAACTCTTGAACCAAAGGAGAGCTTGTCTGATTATGGGGATGTTTCCGAGGAGGCCTAGGGGGGTGAACAGGAAGCCAAGGATCCTCCCAAGTTTGAATCAAAGATCCGTCTCCAACAGTGAATCTCATACCACATTTCAGTAAATCACGACCTTGCAAAATCGATTTCCAACCAAAAGAAGGGCAAGTACCACCATTAGCATTTAAAATATTTGTAGAGGAGAAATACCGACCTCTTAAAATACGAGCCATCAAACAATTTGGATATTGAAGCACTCTCCAAGCCTGTTTAGCAAGTAAAGCAATATTGAACTTTTCAATATCTCTAAATCCCAAACCTCCTTCAGATTTCAAATATTTCATCCGATCCCAAGCAACCCAATGGAGAGAATGGTCGTGATCTTGATTACTCCACCAATAGTCTGCCATAATCCGTTCAATATCTTCACAAATACTCTTAGGGAGCTTGAAGCAATTCATGGTATAAACCGGCATAGCCATCGCTATAGATTTGAGAAGGATTTCTTTTCCACCTTGAGATAAAAACTTATTTTTCCAACCTTTAGTCCTTTCTCTAACCTTCTCAACAATAAATTGAAACAACTCCACCTTTTTCCTGCCAAATTGCTCTGGAAGACCAAGGTATTTACTACAGCCACCATCATTGTAAATTTGAAGTTGTCTCCTGATCCGAGTCTTAACCGAAACTGGAACCCTCTTACCAAAAGTTAGAGCCGATTTCTGTTTGTTAACCTTTTGACCAGAAGCTTTCTCATACTGAGTTAAGATATCTTGAATTGCAGAAACAGCTTTAGTATTAGCCTGACAAAAAAATAGGGAATCATCTGCAAATAAGAGATGACTAATAGAGGGACAATTGTTGCTAATCTTGATTCCTTTTATAAGACCATTAGCTTCAGCACGCTTCAACATATGGCTCAGAACTTCAGCACATAAAATAAATAAATAAGGAGACAAAGGATCGCCTTGTCTTATTCCGCGCTCTGGTTGGATGTGACCTATCGCAGACCCATTGATGTTAACCGAGAAAGTAGTAGAACGAACACAAGTCATGATCCATTTAACCCACATTGGATCAAATCCAAATCTGAACATAGTTTCTTGCAGAAAATCCCATTCCAATCTATCATATGCTTTTGTAATATCAGTTTTTATAGCCATGAAAGAATTGGCACATCTTCTTTTAACCTTCAAGGCATGAATAACTTCATGAGCAATGATGACGTTGTCCGTAATCATTCGACCAGGAATAAAAGCTGATTGCTCTTCAGAGATGATACTTGAGAGATGACCTTTTAATCTGTCAACCAGAACCTTGGATATGATCTTATACCCAACGTTGCAGAGAGCAATAGGTCTGAAATCTCTCATATGACTAGCCGCTTCAATCTTGGGGATTAAACAAAGATTAGTATGATTAAGAGAACGGTCAAAAACACCCTGATCAAAGAAACCCTGAACTTCCTTAGTTATAGTATCCTTAATATCATCCCAATAAATCTGATAAAAAGCAGCTGTGAAGCCATCCGGCCCCGGAGCTTTGGATGCTCCAATAGAGAAAACAGCAGCTTTAACCTCATCTTCTGAAACTCTTCTAGTGAGATCCATATTCATAACACTTGAAACCCGGGGAAGGAAGCCATTAAAGACATGAAAATGGTTATTCTGGGGGGATAATTCACTTTTATAGAGATTAGTGAAAAACTCTTGAGCCACATTACCAATATTAGTATCACCTTGATGCTCAACATCATTATCATCCAAGATCGAATAAATCCTATTGCGAGAAGAACGAATCTTAGCACTAGAAAAGAAGAATTTAGTATTACGATCCCCTTTTTCCATCCAAGTATTTCGACTTTTAAGACGCCAAAATTCTTCTTCATCTTCATAAGCCCTGCTAAGTTTACTCCGCAAATCTTTAATTTCCAAGGTAGAAGAACCATTAGTATGAGCTCTATCAATCTGGTTTTTAAGCAAAGCAATATCTTCTTTAGCATTGTATCTGTGACGGCGTTTCCAATCAGTTATTTCTTTTCTGCATTTAATCAACCGAGAACTTATACCAGACCACTGATTTACACTTGAGTAGTTCCAACCTCTCCTAACTGCATCATCAAACCCATCACGATGAACCAATCTGCTATCAAAACAAAACTGACCTTTATGATGAACAAAATCATTCGAGATGGTAGTAATCACAGGCCTATGGTCTGATTCAATGAATTCCAGAAATTCCATATGAGATGCTGGATATTGCGCTAACCATTCATTATTAGCCATTGATCTATCCAGACAACAAGCAACATCGTGACTGTGACGCTTACCAACCCAACTGAACGGATCACCACTTGCTTTCAGATCCTGGAAATCACAAATTTGTATCATACGACGAAAATCAGCAAAAGAACTCTCTGGACGTAAAGGGCCACCCTTCTTCTCATTATTACTCTTAATTTCATTAAAGTCACCAATAGCCAACCAGGGACCAATTCTGTTGGTTGCAGTACGTTCTAATCTTTCCCAAACCAAGTGTCTAAAGGATGGATTTGGGTTACCATAGACACAAGACAAATAGAAACCAAATCCATTAACTTGAACATGCGTATCTACAAGGTTTGGGGAATGATAAAGAACAGAAACAGAAATACTACTTTTCCACAATAAAGCTACACCACCACTCAAACCAACAGGGGGGACTGTGAAGACATTATCATAACCCAATTCAGCACACACATCTTGGACCACCGCATCCTGCTGTTTAGTTTCCATGAGGCAAATGATGTCTGGAGAAAAAGTCTTCTTAATCTCCTTTAGACGTCGAACTGCGAGGTCATTACCTAATCCTCTACAGTTCCAAGCGGCTGTCCTCATGGGGGAAGAGGTGGTTCAGGGCCCACCGCGCCTCGATCAAGTCCTTTAACTACTAATTTTCATATTAAAAACCAATTGTAGTAGTAAGGCAATTAAACACAGGTTAACAGAAAATTAATTTGGCAATTAAGTAAAGAATCATTCGAATTTACAAGTTAAATGAAATAGTTAAGTAATTTTTGAACAAAAGAATTAGATTTGGGCTTGGTACAGTTAAGCCCAATGATCCCAAGTCCACAATTATAGCTGTTGGTTGCAATTTGTATATAAGCATATTGACCGACCATTTTGCCTTATTTATTTTTAACTTTTATTTAAGCTTTATTTTTGTTGTTTTTTCAAAAGAAAAGAAAAAACATCTACTTCTTTTTTTACTAAGTACTAACATAGTCAATTACATGGACTTGAAATAACAATTGTCAAATATACATTGAGGAGGATAAAAATAAAACTGAAAATTGTACATAATGTTTTTAAAAATAAAATAAAACAAACGATAAAACAAATTTGAAGGTAACACATAGTATACACCAAATACTTCTTCAGAATCACCGGCCAAAAAAAAAATGAATCTACTTGTGTAAAATGAATACGAAAGCATAAAACAAGTTTAATTAACTGGAAAAGTGAAATACGATATTCTGAAGAGGAAAAAAGGATTAACAATTTTATGAAAAAGATAATACAATGTTAAAATTGAATTATTTAGGTTTTTTTAACCATTGGTCATCATCATCCTGACAAATTCATCATAATTGACTTGGCCATCACCGTCCAAATCTGCCTCTTTTATCATTTGATTAACCTCTTCATCTGTTAGCTTCTCCCCAAGATTGATCATCACATGCCTCAACTGTAATCATATACCAAAATTACAGAGATTATATAATTATAAAACAGTTTTTAGAATTAGCTAATGATGTTTGTCTTAAAGCATATATCATGGTCAATGCACAAACAAACTTTAGTTTATAAGTTATACCATAAACTAATCTCTGAAATTTATAAACAAAAGATTAAGGAATTAGATCAACTCTCATTATATTGTACAAATAAAGGTAATAGATGAATGATATTATATGTGTGTTATGGTCTTACACTCCAAAAGCAAAAGTGCATAACAACAACATTGGACTAAAAAATTTTGAATGTGAAAAGAATATATAAGAACATAGTATTATTTTTACACTAGGTGAGACATGTGCTCTGCCCAATAACCCAATAGAATCATAAACACATTTTACTAAATGTTATAACAATTTTTAAATATTTCTTTTGACCTCGTTATCTCCAAAAAAGTCATAGTGACAGCTAGCTCAAACAATTTAGCATTATACGACGCAATGCACACAACTTTTTAATTATAATTAACAAAAACATAATCACCTAAGGATCTCTTGTAAAACTCGAAACTTCGTCTAGCCTTTGTGGTCTAATATTTTCAATAATTCAAAAGATTCCAAACTTGATTTGCTATCTATTCGTTTCCTCCTTTTTTCTAATTAAATGAACAATTACTAATATATAATTATATGAACATACAGAATCTAAATTTTTCGAGTGAGTGTATTAGAAAAACATAGTTACGCACGTACGATATAATTGGAGTGTTGTATAAAACGCATCAAAATGATATTTATTCCATTATACTCAATTGAACTATTGAAGCATATCTAGCTAATTTTCAATACAAATCTATAGAGATGCATAGATATGATAGTTACACCAAAAAAAAAACCAAAAAAAACATAAGAAAGAACAAAGATATGCTTTAAATTTTTCTATACACCTAAGGAAATTAGAACATTGCAGATAAAAGAAACTAATTAGACAAATATAATTAAGAGAAGAGAGGGTGATAATTATATACCTCACTGGCAGAGATGTAACCATTTTGGTCTTTGTCAAACACTTTGAATGCTTCTTTGAGCTCTTCGTCTGCATCAGTTTCCTACAACAACAACAACAACATTAACAACAAAAAAGATCAATAAAGATTTTTTAAAAAAATCAATATGATTAACTGATTAAAATCATTATAACTCTTATAAAGATATATATAATTAAACCTGGATTTGGTTGGCCATGAGGTTGAGAAACTCAGAGAATTCGATGGTGCCGTTGCCATCTGAGTCGATCTCAGTGATCATATCTTGAAGTTCTTGTTCGGTTGGGTTCTGATCCAACGAGCGGATCACAGTAGCAAGTTCATCAGCAGTGATGCAACCATCTCCATCTTTGTCGAAGAGACAAAAAGCTTCTTTAAACTCCATTATCTGTTCTTTCGTCAGTTCTTGTTTTTGTTGTTGTTGTGTTTCTTCCATCCAATTAAAACTTGCTTAGTATAGTCTTCTTGAGAGAGAGAGACAGAACAAAGAGAAGAAGAGAGAAGAGAGAAGAGCTCGAATAGTTTCGAAGTGCTTTCAACTCTCATTCTATTTAGCCTTATTTGTAGAAGTCTTTGCTTTAGACTTTCTTGCTTTTGGACTCATTCACTTTTTTCTACTTCGTTTCATTATGATTTATTTTGCAAGTTATTTATGTGGAATTTTATAATTCTACTCACATGACTATAAATGTTATTTTTGGGTTACTTATATATATATAGTGTTATGATTTAATATAGTATATGTGCATTTATAAATCCAGCTTTTATTTATACAAAGTTGTTGAATTTGGTTTGTTAAGGTAATAATTAGATGGATTGTGAGTTATGTAATTTGTAGCACCAATAAATGGCAAATTGAATAAATATGAAAGTAGTGTGTAATTTTATAAAATAAATTGGGGTGTGGGTTTCGACAGCTGTAAGAGTAGATGACGAGGAGACAAAGAGCATTGAAATTGGTAGACCAAAGCAAAGCACTTGAGTTACTCGAAAACGTGTCGATCTCTCTTTTATTCATTTACAAATATGTTCCTAATGTTATCTTTTTCAAATTTTTTCCAAAGCCAAATCTGCAAATCAGATAATTGCCGACCCTTTCACCGCCGAAGATCCACCATGCATCGTACGACGACGTATATGGCTATGTTTATGTAGCATAAATTAAAAGAATTTACTATCAATCTGGTTATTTATTTCGTTTAGACATTTAGTGTTAACAAATGTGTATTTTGATTTCAAAAACTGTTGTATTTATATATATAAGGAATATTTTTTTTGATAAAATATAAATACTGAATACTCTATAGAAATTTATGTACATAATGACTATTTTTCTAATTAATTTAAAAAGCTGACTCAGCTACAACCAACCAAACACCATTTTGTATAATAGACTTCGCATAGTGACACCGACGTCTTCTTACGTCCTTAAACTTGTTGACTAAGCTGAATTGAATTGAGTGTTCTTGTCCAAAAATTATCACAAGTTCTTTTTAATCAATATGAACCACAGAATCTAATGCGTAAGAGTTAGAGAGTGGTTAAAAAAACGTCAGAACATATCTCAACCAAAATAAAACACACGAAGTTAAGACATGCTAATATTGTCTACATATGAAATAAGCAAACGTTATACGTGAAAACTTGCTTTTTTTAACCCCATGCAAAAGAGGTAACTAAAATCTAAATTATGGTAGACTAAATACAAAATCTGAATATGAATTTTTGATGGTTTCTATTTCATATAATATGACTAAAATTCCAACTATAGAGGGGGATCTGGTTGATGATTCCCAAGACCTAAATTTCAACATCATTGAACTTTTCCTTTATTGCAACATGTTGACTTGACTTGAAAAAATGATGATATTCGATTAAAATGTAGGAAATGATGCATTCGATACAAAAAATACAAATCATTTAAACGAGCAAAGTCCTAGTCATAAACGAGTAATATACTAGAAAATAATGTAACCTAGCAATCAATCGTGCTCTAAATAATTTACACGGTTTTAAAATGGAATTTAGTGTAATATAAAGTGCCATACTATATGGTACCATTAGTACCACACGCTTACGTATAGTGTTTGGATGCGTTTTGATTTTGTAAAGTCAAAATTAAAGTACTAACGTATTTTTTTTTTTTTTTTTTTTTTTTTTTTTTTTTTTTTTTGCTTTTTAGCTCTGTTTTGTCTTTTTTATTTGATCTTTTTTGTTTTCTGATAAAAAGTTATATTTGACGTTTTTTTGTTCAGCAAAAAAGATATACGTAGATGTTGAATTGTCGTCTTAAAGAGGGAATGACCGTACAATATATAAGGTCTTACCAATGTGTTTTTGACATTCACATGTACGAGAAATCGAGAATGTGATGCGAAATGATAGTTAGATATCTGACACTTAGGATTGAACTTTGAGGTCTGAAAATGGGAGATTTTTTTTGTTTTTGCTATACTATCTATTTTGAACCATATTACGAAAATAACTGTTTTGATGGTCATGTAATTTTTCACTATAAGTTTTCTGTTTAATCAAATTTGTCGAAGACAAAATGTTGTATAGACTTTGCAATGTTACATAGTGACGCCAACATCTAAATGTCTATAACTTGTTGACTAAGCTGAATTGGCCCTGTCCAAAATCATCATAAGTTCTTAATCAATTAATTAGACATTGTGGAAAAAAAAAGTACTTGTTGATATATATGATTCACAAAAAAAATCTTGATAAGAAGTAAGCAAAACCTGAACAATTCTTTCACAAAACTATAGTGAAGAGATATTGGTTCTGAGTTAATTTCGCATTTCATTGATACCACTAGTTTGGAATATTTTTACATGAAAAAATTATCATATTCGGAGATATTTTTTTTAATACTAGCTTTTATTCAATTTTTTAAAAATTTAAAATAACTATTAATATTTTGGAAAATAAAATAAAATAATAGCTCTAAGGATTATGTATAGAGGGATAATTTTAAAAACAAAATATTTTGTTTACAATGATGATTCAGGAGAACTAAGAAGTAATGACTGACTAATATTAAAATATCAGAAGGTTTATAGTGTTGTACTGTAATTGAGTTTATTAATAATGTTTACACTTTGATTAGCATGTTTACTTATAAAATGTATTATTCAATTAGCAAATGATGAAGGTATCAGGGCCGGGCATTTAATACAAGCCCATCAAGCATGACCCAATAGATTTAAGAGGTAAAACGCAGAGCATCGAATCGGCGCGTGCAGATGACGAAATCAAACTTTTAGGAAATAGACGAAAAATTAAATTAAACAAATCAGATTAAATAAAATTTTCTTTCTTTCCTCCGACTTTTCTTCTTTTTCAAAAATCGCAACTTTTTTTTTTTTTTTTTTCGACCCTTTCGATCATCGCAAAAGCTCCTTTTTTTTTTCCTTCGAAGTCTTCCCAACTAATACTTAGAATTTTCTATTTGCTTTCTCAGAAAATTACAAGAATTCTAAATCTTTCTCTCTGTTTTTGTTGAATTCTCGAGATCTGTTTGATTCTGAAGTCCTTGTAATTTGTGTCCAACCAGTTAAAAATGGGGTTTTGTGAAGGTTTATGAGTTTCCTATTATCCAAAAATGGCGATCTCTTGGTCTTGAGTTAAAATTGTGTTTCTTCTTCTTCTCTGTCGTTGTTAAAGTTTTGATTTTCAATTTTTTTTTTATTTTGGGGTTGGAAACTTGAAATCGAGAAACTTTTGATGGAAGCGGGTAGCTCCAATTCATCGGGTCAGCTTACCGGGCGGGTCGTTGATACAAGAGGCAAACACAGGATTCAAGCTGAACTCAAAAGGCTTGACCAAGAAGCTCGGTTCTTAGAGGTATATATATATTTATAAACTCTCCTTTTCAAGCCCTGTTCTTATTTCGTTTTGTTTTGATTGGATGATTGTATCATAAAGCGTAATTTGGATTGGATCAAGCTTTTGGTTTTGTGCTTGGCTAGTTTTTGGAGGGAATAGTATAAATCTTAGTTGGAGTACGGTAGAGAATTTGAAAGTTTGGAACTTTTTTTTAGTTTTGGGAATTGAAGAACCTATTAAGGGAATCAATCTGATTTAGGGGTTTTTGTTGTTGTTGTTGGGAGGGATTCAATGAGTGGATAAAGTAAGTTTTGTTATTTTGATTTTTGTAACAGGTGGTATTGTGGGGTTGCTTTTATTGAGTTAGTTGTACTTGTGTCTTGATGTAGTTCATTTTTGTGTATGCTTAACAAGATTGGATCTCAGATTAAGGGAACTGATCTGGTTTAGGTTTATTGTCGTTGTGATTGAATATGTGGTTAAAGAAATCAACTTTTGATTAGTTTGATTTTGTAAAAGTTGGTATTGTGGGTTTGCTTTCCCTGAGCTTAGTAGTGTCTTTGAATGTAGCTCCTTTTTGTATAACACTTTCGGGTGTGTTTGCTTTCCTTGAGTTAGTAGTGTCTTTGATTTTAGTTACTTTTGTATCACACTTTAGAAGCTTAACAAATTTGGAACTCAGATTACAAAGGCTTGTTTGAGCAAAATAGTGTACCATTTGTTCATGTGTTGTGGTACAATGTGAGACTTTGTGTGTATAATACCTTTAAAGCTTATAGGGTTTGTGTGTGACCTCGGCCATAGTGTCATATGCAGTTCAAAAGATAGCGGAAGAAGGACCTTGGAATTGAGAAATCTCTGTTTTAGAAATGTAGTGTAGAATTGTATCCTTTTATAAAGAGTTGTTGTGATGCTAACTGTTATTCAAGTGAGAGAGTGTATCAATATGCTTTTGTTGATAGAGCACAACATCAAGGTCAGTAATTACGGATTAGGAAGGTTAAAGAATGGTGATGAGTTAAGCTAAAATGTAGAATATTTAGTAAATATCAAATGGAAAATCTTTCATTCAGGTTATGTAATATCTTGAGCCCTGAGGGTTTAAGCTCTTGTCCATGTAGTTGTTTGGACATTTTTAAATCAAGTACTTGATTAAAATAGTTACAAGGTATAACTTTCTTACTTCAACTATATTCAGGAAGAGCTGGAGCAGCTTGAGAGGATGGATAACGTATCATCGTCTTGCAAAGAGTAAGAACTTGTTGCATAACTGATATCTGGTTCACGAATAATCATTCCACAATCTTGACTCGTCTCTTTAATGGATGCAGGTTCTTAGACAGTGTTGATAGCAAACCTGATCCTCTTCTTCCCGAGTAATTCTACTTTTGTTTTATGATAGTTTCGTTTCGATAGAATGTGAGATGATTTGGTCTGATATGTTTGCTTTTGTGACTACTTGTAGAACAACAGGTCCAGTGAATGAGACATGGGATCAATGGTTCGAAAAAACTAGAGAAGCAAAAAGATGTGGCTGCACCATTCTTTGATCTTCATTTCCCTCTCTTAAATTTTTGGCTCTACTTCTTCCATGAGTTTGTGTTTTTACGTTCCGCGGCAGTGAAATTGATGTAATTGGCAAAAAACAAAAACAAAAACAAAAAGTTGATTCATTTGTGCAGATAAAAAAAGTATTGATATTGATGTGTCTCTTAACTTAGAAAGAATACAGTGCCAAATTCTGAACAAAAACAAGATTCCTTATTCATTTCGATTTGTAATTCTAGACATAGTTTCAATAAGAGCAACCAAAATAGCTAGTCAAAGCTTGTTACATGAAAGTCAGAGGATATACCAAGTATACTTTATGAGCAATCCAACAGAGCTCATCACACCATCCTTTCTCCAGTACAACTTGCTTGAATATGCAAATCATGGTTGTTGATATTGTGAAGGTTAAGTGCATCCGTGACCTCATCATCTTTCAGGTCATGTTAGTTTGTAAACACAAGTATGACTGAGTAACCTTGAGAGCTCATCTTTCATGAATGAGATATTCTGGCTTTGTCTGTGCTATGAAGACGTCTTTAGTCTATGTTGTATGTATATTTTGCCCTTTTGCTCCAGTAAATATAAATATATTGTAGATGTTGATTGGCACATCTTTAAGGGTTTACGCAAAGTAGTGTCTGTGTAGAATACGTTCATGTGATTGTGGAGAAAGGTGACGGTTTTGTGTAATACCTTCAAAGCTTACAAGCTCCGAAGAATGACCTAAATGAGAAATCTCACTTTGTGAATTGTAACGTAGAACACACTCATTAGTCTTACAGGCTTTACCTTTTATGATTGAACACACTCACAGTCACACTACCCTGTTCTGTTCCGGTAATTATAATTAGCCTTTTCATGTCCTCATGACCTCATGTTTCATAAATACGCGTGTTAGGCAAGTATCTGACCTAAGTAACCTGACATGTAAAACAAAAACATTAAAAGATGACAGATTTAAGAAACGTTAAACGTAAATGCAAATTCTAAATCATAAATGTAAAAACAAATTTAATGTTTCACCATTAGACAAAAACAAATTAATGCATTCTACTCAAAAAAAATTAAAAAAAACATTAAAGCTGCCTCTTCTCTCTAAATATTTAAACGTTACGAGTCCCTCTTGCAACCCTAAATTTCTCAGAATCATCATTGCATCTTCTTCCTTGTTAATTTGGTGAGTTGTTACTTGTTCGACGCAGATGACGCAAACCAGTACCGATGCACGCCTTGAAGCACTCGAGAAGAGCCATGAGAAACTGACCGCGGACACAAATGCTCGTTTATACGCCATTGAAGTGGCTCTAAGCACCTGGACTGCGATATTTGAGGCATCGAGAGCAACTGCCACAAACCAACATCCAGGGTATGATCAATACGGCGTCGTCCCCCTTCTTCAGCATACAAAGCCCTCTCTCGCGGTAACCCACCCTCGTAGCAACCCTAAGGTTTTTTTCGAATTTACCGTCGGCGGCAGTCCAGCTGGTCGGATCGTGATGGAGCTCTACGCGGACACGACCCCGCTAACCGCGGAGAACTTCAGGGCACTTTGTACCGGCGAGAAAGGCATAGGAAATATATTTGGTAAGCCACTCCACTACAAGGGAACCATCATCGACCGTATTTGCCCAGGTTTCATGTGGTGTGGTGGAAATATCGTTCGCGTGCGTGGAGAGGAAGGCGAATCGATATACGGCGGAGTATTCCCGAACGAGAACTACATCAAGAGGCACGACCGTCCTGGTGTCCTCTCCATGGCCGTCGGTGATCCACACACCAACGCATCTCAATTCCAGATTGTCTTGGAAGAGTTCTCGTTGCTCGATGGTGTGCACGTCGTGTTCGGCCAAGTCATTGAAGGATTCGACGTGATTAGGAGGATTGAAGACGAGGTCGCAAGTACGAGGAACCGAATCCCTTCGAAGCCCGTGGTTATCGCAGACTGTGGTCAGCTTTGAGACAGAGAGATTTGATTCATCCTATGACTACAATATAATGGTGGCTTTCTTGTGTTTAATTATGTCTGGTCTGTCTTGTTCTTAGGTCGTTTGGATTTTGAGTCTGGTGTTACCTTTTATGTTTTGGTCGTTTGAATTTTGAGTTTGGTGTTATCTTTAAAGTTTAATATTTGTCACCATTGAATAATGATATAATAAGCACCTATTATTTGCTATTAGAATGACCTTAGAAATTAAAAATTCTCACTTTAGGGAACGTAATCCTATTTCACCAGTCAAATTAATACTAACAAACTTCAGGACCGTAGAAATGAGAAACCTTTAGCAAAGGTAATGTATACATTCTCTAATGCAAATTCGACAGACTGTTTTGATTGCTGTAATTTTGCAAAAAAAAGATTCGTTTGTGCAGATAAAATCTATTGTTATCGACATGTCTTGATTTACAAAGAATACAGTGCCAAAATCCGACACAAAACAAGATTCTTTTCTTTCAGATTATAAAATTCTGGACACAGTTTCAATGATAGCAACCAAAATAACTGAAGCTCTTGTTACATAAAAGTCAGAGGATACAATGTTAAAGAACAGCTGAACCAGACAACAGAAACAAAGAAAAATACTCTCTCTGATTCAGTTCTGATTTCCCTTAACTCGTGGCTTTACCCGTAACTTTCTGGGCAATCCAACCGAGCCCATCATATAGCCCTTCTCCAGTAACCGCACAACTTGCTTGAATATGCCAATCATGGTTCTTGATACTGTGAAGGTTAAGTGCATCCGTGATCTCAGCAGGAGTCATCGCATCTTTCAGATCCTGTTTGTTTGCAAAAACAAGTATGACCGAGTTTTGAAGATCCTCGTGACCAAGTATCCTGGCGAGCTCATCTTTCATGAAAGAGATTCTGGCTCTGTCTGTGCTATCAATAACCACAATCACAGCATGAGTTCCACGATAGTATGTTGCCCATGAAGTCCTTAGTCTATCTTGCCCACCAAGATCCCAGACCTAAAGACAACATCCCATCAAATCTTCAATTTTGCAAAGCTCAAAGTTGAATATATATATATAAGCCAGCGTCAAACAGTTATTCTTTACAGCAAACAATTCAAAATCTTTATGCGTCAAAGAAGTCCGATTTAAAAGTTTTGTAACGTGTATATGCATCATTCAGTTTTGACATACAAGAACACATGCAAAAGGCCATAAAACAGAGATGGTTTCATCTGTAGCCATGACTTTGACACTTGTATAAAAGAGGACTTACCAAACAATCCTCTGGCATAAAAACTAAGCCAGGAAGTAATAACAAACAGTGCACCCTATATAACGTACAACCAGATTAACAGCATCTACACAAATTTGCTATATGAAACCATAAATCGCAAGTATTGTACATATGAAAACGTCCAACACAATGAGCTTCTAGACCAATCATGTCAAAAAATTAGACAAAACATCCAATTCTAAAGAAAACTGCAGGAATTTAACATACCTAAAGACAATAACACAACAAAAGATTGCAGATTTTAGCAGATTTTAAAATAATCCATAGAGATTCAAACTTCTATTCCTACATCCCAAGATCTAACCTCAAACAGAACCTAAGAAACATGGATTCGATAATCGATTAATGCGTGTTATTCATTGATAATCGATAACCTAAGAAACATGGATTCGATAATCGATAATTGGTACCTCAAAGCGGATATTCTTGTAGACAAGCTCTTCAACATTGCTACCGACAGTAGGATGAGTAGTGACAACTTCACCAAGGTGAAGTTTATAAAGGGTCGTTGTTTTACCAGCATTATCCAAACCAACAACCACAATCTTATACTCTTTTGCAGGAAACATCATGAACCAAAACCTCGACATGAATGCTCCCATCTGTCTCTCTCTCCGCTATATACCAAAAAAAAAAACCCTAAATCAACAAATTTACGATGAAGTTTGTTCTACAAACTGTGGAATCAAGAAACCAACCCTATCGATATAGATCATAAAAATTGAATCTTTCAAACAAACCCAAGTCAGAATTTTACAAGCAAGTGAATTCGAATTCGAAATCAGAGAAGCCCAGATCAGATTTAGATACAACGATCCCAGATTCGATCAAGTTCTACCAAATCTAAAGGATATAAAAATACAAATCGGGAAAAGTAGTGATCAAACCTTGATTCAGCTATAATCTGGCGATGGCGGAGGCAAGAATCGGTCAAAGATAAGAAAAAGTTTTCAAATTTCAATCTTGGGATCTTCTTCTTCTTCTTCTTCTTCTTCTACTTTTATTATGTTAAAGCTTTTCAGGTTCCTTCCTTGAAAGGCAGATGGGTGGAGAGAAGAAAAGTATGCGGGAAACAATGTCAAAACTGTAAATATGATGGTCCAAAAAAACAAAAAAAAAGGAAATTACACATTTTAGATTTATAATAATATGGACGACAAAAAAAAAAAAGAGAAAAAAGATTTAAAATAATATGTTAATTTTACTTAACCCGGCTGTGCAGCCTCGACCGTAATGGCACCGTACACGTCACCGCTACAGCCACGGCGAACATTGTTGTTATTAATAATACATTACATTTGATACTCTTTGGCATTTTAGAAAATATTTATTGTAGAAAATCATAGTTAACTAATAACTATTTTCTCGTTGAAAAAAAAACTAATAACTATTTTCTAGAAATATTGTATTTTGATTAACAATGTGTGAAATGAAAATACGATTTTGTAATAATTTTTTTTTCAATTTAATACCCCTTCTATTTTTTTATTAAGATTTTTTTTCCAGATTATTTGTAATTTTTATTTCTTAATATAATATTTGCAATAAAGTTCCAAATTTAATTTCAATTAAACTAAATGGATTGAAAATAAAATAAAACTTGATTTTATATGTGAAGTTAAAATTATCGATGTACATAATTTTTTCCCAAAAAATTCTCTAAAATGACGAGTTAAAAAATACAAAAAAGTAGTTAAAAACGTTTAAAGGATATTATTACAAAACTTCAAGGACGTCAATAAAAACGGGACGGTCCTATCTCTTCTTTCTTTACAATTCGCGGGCCCCACTGACACGTGGCGGCCCGCGATTGGTTTTGTTTTGTTTTTCTTTTTTAAATTAAAAGAAAATCTAAAAATTAAAAAAAAAAAGAAAAATATATGTTGAGGGACGATTATACCGATGTGCATGGTCTTAGGTAGGTAGGTACACTTATTTTACATACAGCACCAAAACATAGGAATTTTTTTATTATTCTTTTTTGGACGAAAGGAAAAATATATAAATAGTATTCCCAATATAACCCTTTCCCAAAGTCCTATCATCATCTCAAGACAAATCAAAATCCAAAACTCGCAAAAACAACAAAATAAACACTCTCACACTTCGATATCTCCGTCTTCGTCTCCTCAGAGCCAACTGTACTGAGATTCCGATTTCGATTTCTCCGATCTCTCTCTCTCCGCCTCCCGGACGAAACCATGTCTCAGTCTATCCAATTCTCCACTCCTTCACGCACTCCTCACCTTCTCCATCTCCCTCACTCACAACAATTCAACCGTCCTCTCTCTTCCATCTCCTTCCGTCGCTTCCCTCTAACCACCATCAAATACACCTCCATCAGAGCTTCCTCGTCTCCGTCTCCTTCACCGGATGTTGATTCTTCGTCGTCGTCTTCCTCCCAGGTGCTTCTCTCACCTAACGGTACTGGTGCTGTGAAGTCTGATGAGAGATCCGTTGTTGCTACGGCTGTTACGACGGATACGGCTGGGATTGAGGTTGATACCGTGACGGAAGCTGAGCTTAAGGAGAATGGATTTAGGAGCACGAGGAGGACGAAGCTGATCTGTACGATCGGACCGGCGACTTGTGGATTTGAGCAGCTTGAGGCGCTTGCTGTGGGAGGTATGAACGTCGCGAGGCTTAATATGTGTCACGGTACGCGTGATTGGCATCGTGGTGTTATTCGTAGTGTTCGGAGGCTTAATGAGGAGAAAGGCTTTGCTGTTGCGATTATGATGGATACTGAAGGTAGTGAGATTCATATGGGAGATCTTGGTGGTGAAGCTTCAGCTAAAGCTGAGGTTGTTTAATCTCTTCTCTTTTCGATTTTGAGTTTGATGTAGACATTGATGTGTGTAGTGTAGATGTTTAAACTTTGGTGATGGCTTTTTTTACAGGATGGTGAGATTTGGACTTTCACTGTTAGAGCTTTTGATTCGTCTCGTCCTGAACGTACCATCAGTGTTAGCTACGATGGTTTTGCCGAAGGTATATACAATTATGTTTTATGGAAATGTAGTTTGCTTTATTAAGCATGAAGTGGAAGAGATGAACTTTAGTTGGATTTTGGTGATTGAGTATGAAATGGTGATCATTTGTGATGCAGATGTACGAGTTGGTGATGAACTACTGGTTGATGGTGGGATGGTGAGATTTGAAGTGATTGAGAAGATTGGTCCTGATGTCAAGTGTCTGTGTACTGATCCCGGATTGTTGCTTCCTCGAGCTAACTTGACTTTTTGGAGAGATGGAAGTCTTGTACGAGAGCGTAATGCCATGCTTCCAACAATTTCTTCCAAGGTTTGTAATTTTTTATCTTCCCACTAAGCTTTGAGATTTGATTCACTTTATTAGGTTAGTTTGGGAGGGATCAATGCAATGTGAAGATGTACACTTTTTGAACTTAGACGAGTCCATGTTGGCAAAACAGAGGATAAGTAGCTATATCGCAATAACAGTTGTTTCTCTATCTAACTGAGTCCATGTGAATCTAAAAGTGTTGGTTCTAAATGCGAGATCATTGTATACAAAATATGATTTTATCTCCTAATTAAAGGTGAAGTAAGAATGATGTTGGAATGATGGTTTACTCAAAAACTAAACATATAGAATATCTCCCAGAGGGAAAACATAATCATTTTCACTGATGATACCTCAATTCTTTATTTTCAGGACTGGTTGGATATTGATTTTGGAATTGCTGAAGGTGTAGATTTCATTGCTGTATCGTTTGTCAAGTCGGCTGAAGTAATTAACCACCTTAAAAGTTATCTTGCTGCTCGTTCCCGTGGAGGGTAAGTAAACATGCCCAACATCAACACATCATACTGCTGTATAAGAAACATATAATCTACCTTGGGAGTCAGGCTATCATTTGGATTGGGTTTTGCGTCATCTTTAGTTTTAGTTTTGTTTCGATGTTTTGTTCATTTATGATGCAGGGAAATTGGAGTGATTGCAAAGATCGAGAGTATCGATTCATTGACCAATTTGGAAGAAATTATACTAGCATCAGATGGAGCCATGGTTGCAAGAGGAGATCTGGGAGCTCAGATACCTCTTGAACAAGTTCCAGCAGCTCAACAGAGAATCGTCAAAGTCTGCAGGGCACTTAACAAACCCGTCATTGTAGCTTCACAGCTGCTCGAGTCCATGATTGAGTACCCAACTCCAACCAGAGCAGAAGTAGCTGACGTGTCTGAAGCAGTAAGACAAAGATCAGACGCATTGATGCTCTCTGGAGAATCAGCTATGGGTCAATTCCCAGACAAGGCGCTCACTGTTCTAAGGACTGTCAGTCTAAGAATCGAGAGATGGTGGAGGGAAGAGAAACGCCACGAGTCTGTGCCGCTTCAAGCCATTGGCTCAACCTTTTCAGACAAAATCTCAGAAGAGATATGCAACTCTGCTGCTAAAATGGGTAAATACTGCAAGGTTCTGTATATGTCGAAAGCAAATCTATCTATAGTTTCTCTGTCATTTTACTTATCCAATACTTACAGCTAACAACCTTGGAGTGGACGCGGTTTTCGTCTACACAACGAGCGGACACATGGCATCATTGGTCTCCCGGTGTCGCCCAGACTGCCCGATATTTGCTTTCACAACAACAACCTCAGTGAGAAGACGCTTAAACTTACAATGGGGACTTATCCCATTCCGTCTCAGCTTCTCAGACGACATGGAAAGCAACTTGAACAAAACATTCTCGTTACTGAAATCAAGAGGTATGATCAAATCTGGCGACCTCGTGATCGCAGTCTCGGACATGTTGCAATCGATCCAGGTAATGAACGTCCCGTAATTTCTCTCTCTTTCTTACAAATTTCGCAATCCCGCAAAAGAGTGTTTTGTTTCCTACAACTTTGTTGCTGTCTTTAGACTACTCTTACATTAGATTACAGAGGCATCGTCATCTTCGGTTTGTTAACAGTGGACGTGTGCCACAAATGTAAGCTTTGTTTGTAGTGTACTATTTGTTTTCTTTTGTTGGCTTTCCAAGTTTCAATAATATCTATTAGTAGTCAATTCCTAATTTTTAATAATTATTCTATTTAGTCTTTTTTTATTATTATAAAAACTATAAAGATAAACCCAAATATTAAGGGGAATGAGAGTGAGCTAGACAACATAAAATTATCCACAAATCCTAAAATTATCCTAATTGTGTGGAACATTCTTAATTTGGACACAAATAGGATTAGAGTTATATAATAAATTATATAATAAACGTAATTCTAATTCAATTAGAACAAGGATTTAGAATACCATGGTAATGTAAATAGAGTGTATACGGCTCTTCTTAATCACAATTAGAATCGCATCTTCCAGTAGAGAAGAGAGAGAGATTCAATAATCATGATAAATCGCAAGAGACCTCGGAAGACTCAAGAGATAAGTTTTTATGAAACTCCATCGGATTGTTCTGAAGAAGAGATTCAACGGAGTTGTGAGTTTTTGAGGAAAGTGAAAGAGTTGGATGATAAGACAATCTTCGTTAGATTTGCCGATGCAGTGAAGTGTTATCAATCTAAGTCTTTAAGCTACAAGTATCTCAAAACCAAAGTCGCTTACATTCTCCGTAATCACGATGTTTTGCTCGAACAATTCCATCAACTTATGTCGGATTTAGCAACCAAAGAAGCAACCAAAGAAGAGAATCGTGACGCCGTGAAATCAGACGTGGAACGCACGGTTGAGTTTTTGAACAAACTCGAAGCTACGGGGAAGGGTTTACACGGTGCGTTTCTAAATGCGTTTGCGTTTGACGGTGATATCGTGGCGCTGGTTGAAAACCTCGACGTGGTTTTACGCGATCACGCGTGTCTCAAAGAGGAGTTTAAAGCGTTCTTAATCGATTCCCGTTTACTCAAAAAAAACCGAAACGCGGTTCTGAGGCGGCCGTAGAAGCTGATGAGTGTTTTACCAAATTTAGTGAAGGTGTTTCTACGTGATAGGGTCTTTGATTTCTCATGTTGGGCTTGTTTGGGCTTTAGTTCCACAACAACGTCCCTAGTTATACTCTTACTCTCTTAGGAATATTCGAATCATCATCATCATCATTCATCAATGTAAGCTTTATGAAGTGTTATAATTACATGCCGAGGGATAATTAGTATCCATCAATCAAAATTTCACTCATAGTTCTTCCTCAAGTAGTCGAGTGGACCAAAAATATATGATGAAAGAAGTTTCAAAAGAAGACACACTAATAAGTATCTAGTTTGTAAAATTACTACAACTAGTTTGCTCTTTTTCAAGAATACCACTTTTTTTTCCTCACATAACATCACATTCTGAACCATTAAACTAATCCAAAAGAATGATTAAACTAATTTGCAACATAGACCAATTTCACACTCTCTAACACTAATAAGAAACACATCAACATTATTGAATTCGTCAAGTATTTCTCTGAATTAGTCTCTACTATAGGAACATACAACACCATAGTCTAGTATAAAGCTTAAGCTGTTGTCTTTTTTTTTTTATAGTATAGTTTGTATGTTAAATTAATGTAAATCAAATAATATTGGAGGATTTGATCATATCTTCTTCTTCTCTTATACTGTTTGCATCACTTAAAAATCAATGGTCCCAATGTCTTATGCTATCATACAATAGATTCATAGAGAAGTAAGTGGACCAAACCCAATCGTATATTTTAAATGTATAAAAGACTCACAAAGTTTTTATATTAATCATGTAAACAAGTTCAATAATTCAATTATTATATGTAGTCAGAAAAAAGAAAAAAATAGGGACCTTTTTAATTAAGTAGTTAATTCTTTCCGGGTCCGAATTAATAAAGACATATACAAACAAATATGAAAACAATGTAATAAATTTGATAATAGAGACAACAAACACCAACTATAGCAAAACACATTAAATTAAGTAAAAAATTCCTATCCATGTTACTATTGGCTATGTGAATTGATTCAACCACTAAATTATGAACATCGTACACATATATGATAAATATAACAATAAATGTATTATTGGAAATGTAATTGTTAACATTGCATGAGAAAAGTCTGTCTATGGTTCAACTGTTTTTAGGTTATCTTCTCTAAATATACAATAACAATAATAAATGGAATTAATTTGGAATCAATTATTAGGTTGTCTTTTTAAAAATTTTCATTTTGGTTTACTTCTTATAGATTTATCATTTTTCAAGTTATAAAATATAATTTGACATACGTTTTACCTATTTTTTTTTTTTGTTTAATCGGTTATATTTTTTCTTAAGATTCAATATTTGTTATAAACTATGTATTTTAGTAAAAATATAAATCATAAATATGTATATTTTAAAATGCTCAAAAATGACCAATCCGTAAAATTTGAGTGAAAATGGCACATCCATAATATTTGGGTAAGAAAAACGAAAAAAAAATCTGTAATAATCCCATAATCATTTTGATATAGATTACATTACAAGTAACTCTTTTGTTTTTTTATAAAGCTTGCATTAGCAAAATATGAGTTATAGATGTTTGTTTTGTTCTGGCACAAATCTGAATAACCAGAAGGAAAAAAAAATAGGAAGATGCTCAAAAGAAACAACAGCAACAAAACTCCAAAAACAAAAAGAAGCAAAAAACACAGGTAGGGTAATGATGATGTTAAGCAGTATATATACATTTGTGTAAAAAAAAAATAATCATCATATCACAAAATTATCATTTTTACATTCATATATACTCACATATATGTAAAAATATAGGAGTATAAGTAAGGGACAAGACCTTCATTATCAAAAGACTTTATGTCTTCTTCAGTCATTTTCTGATTTGCTAAATTTAATATTCAGATCTGATCACTCTCTCTTCTCTTCTTCTAACCCCTTAAAACTCTCTCTCTATTTCTATTTTATTTTTCTTTCTCTTATCCATGTGTGCAAGCAATCATATAAATAATATAATATATATACCAAAATTTATTTTATTTTCTCAAGGGTCCACACCTTATTTATTCGATTTCTGCATTTTATCCGGATTCAAGAATTTTTAAGATTATGCATATAAAAATATTTAATGTAAAAGTTTAGTTGAAATACCTTAAATTTCAAAGCATCTTCGAGAATTCTTATGAAAATGCAACAAATTTATAGTAAATTCAATAATATGAAAACGAAATAATTCGTATAAATACATTAAACATTATATTTCAATACCATACATACATAATAAGAAGTGCCAAGACAAAAATAAAACATAATAATACGAATGTAGAAACTAATAAAATGTTTCTACCAAAAAAAAAAAACTAATAAAATGTAATGGAATAGAGAGATATTATAAAGAGTAGAGAGATCATAGATAAACTATAAGATAAGGTTAGATTTAATTTTATGGAATATTGAAATATGGTAGGCCAACCAATGGGGATATTTTTTTTTTATTTCATTAAAGATGATGACGTTTCACACAATTTTATTTTATATTTCTTTCTTCTGTAACAAACTAATATATTTCTTCTTGTGAATTTTTTTTTGTTTTATATATTTTATTTTTTGGATCAATTATTATATTTAGTTATCCTCCGAAATTTTCGCATTTATTTACTGGCAACAAAGAAGAAGAAGACATGTATATGTAGCATTCTCTTCTTTACCATGACATCCGAAGAGTTAACTATCGTCACGTCATGACTATATATATATATACACAATTTCTGACCTAATAAAAAAATAAAAAAATAAAAAAAATAATAGTCTCTCCCATCTATATTTCAAAATAAGAAATGTTTTAAGGTTCGTGACATAATTCTAACATGATAAAATCTCACAAAGTTTAAACAATTAGGTTTACTACATTTTAAACCCTCACGTAAGAACTGAAGATGATGAAATATATATATAAGCGAGGGTGTGTTTTTATTTTCGTTTTGAAAATGAAGTATTTGTTAGGTTTGAACAAAACCATTAAAGAAGAAAACCCAAAAACGAAAAAGAGTCATACCTGAACATCTGCCTAAACCACCAAATTATTATATATATAAATAATGAGTTCGCCAAACACAGGAAAAGTGCTTATTTACAATGATCATTGATCAGCTCGTTATATATTTATTTAGGCTTTCAAAATATATATTAGATGCGATAAAATATCTTTGGTTTTTATATTAAAAACAAAAAAGATATATAGTGTCTTTGTTTTTCTTTGTCAAAGTATACTGTCTTTGGATCAGTATAGAAAGTCAATAGCTTAGATTATTTTGTCACAGATATATATATACGATTATGAATTAGAACCAAATCCGGATTCGAATCCGGTTTCTCTAAAAAAACGCATATAATTTATAACAATATCCAATGTGTAGATCGTGTATACGTTATTTAAATAGTCAAAACTCAAAATACAACTTTAAAAGGAGAGTGATGAGAAATAAAAACTCTCTACTATAGACGATTTCGACATCATAAGATATTACTAATTTATATCATAATAAACTTATAATATCTATAAATATAGTTTTATGTTATTGATAAAAGTTTACCATGCATAAATTCACTTAATGTATTTCGTTTAACTACTAAAGTACAACTTCAGCTGTATAAATCTATAAATGATATGCACTTTTATAAGAGAGAAAAACAATGGATTATTTTCTATAATTTATACGCAAATGTTCGAATTTTGTTTTAAAACACAATCTAGCTAGTTAGTAGTTGCTATTGTATATATAGCTATATGTCCAAAAGACTTTTAAAAAACATATAACATACATAAACTACGAGTCTACGAGTTAAAAGGCAAGACTTTATGACAATTACATATTTTTTTTTTTTGTTAAACGGTTTTCTTGAATAAAAAAGAGAAAGTATACATAGTAGATTGGTATTATCTATAATCTCTCTATATATATATATATATATACTGTATGGTTCTATCTCTAATAACATATATAAATTACGTTACATCTATATGTGTTGCATTCAAAGTAGGCCAAACATGTTTAATACAACATTATTCTCTAAAGTCTACTCATTGATAGATAGTATAAGTCTTAAGGTTATAAGTACGTTCATACCAAAAAAATAAAAATAATACGTAGATGCATCAAACAGGTGAACTATATATAACCGTGTTGACTGTTGAATTGTCTAAACCTTCGCTTTCTCGTGTTATTTGTATTTGCCCGAAAGAATAAAACATATGTAGTTTAAAAATATTATAATAAAATAAAATTATGTATATTCCAACATAATAATTATTCGAAATAATTTATCACTTCACTCCATTTTTTGAAATGATAATTTAAAAGATATTTATTTACATTCGAAATCTTAAGAAACGTCACAATCAAAAATGGTTTGTGCTCTATACTATTTATTAAAAGATGAGATTTTACACTTTAAAAACATGAATTTAGCAATAAATTGAAGTTTCATTCTTGGAAATGTGTATTACAATGAAACATTTAACTTGGTTGTCTTCTGATGAACTTTGTTTAAATTATGACAACTAAACTACAAACCTATAGTTTTAATTAGAATCTGGAATATCTTTTTATATTTCCGTGATAAAATTAGAAACTACGATCAAATATATATATATATATATATATATATATATTCAAATGGCCCATTCAAGCTAATACTATATCTTAAATATATGTAATAAAATAGTATATATCCACTAATTTATATATATATATATATATATATCATACTATCATATAATAAAAATTATGGACCACACATCCACAAATTCTTAACAGAAAAAAAAATATCTCTTTAGTTTTTTGTGGAAAGGAAAGTGTCGTTATTGTCAACATTAGTTCACTTAGAAAAAATCAGAAGAAGAAAAAATATCTCTTTAATTAATCAGGTCTTAAAAGTAATCAAATCATAAGAAATTAAGAATTGATGATAAATACATTCATTCTTGTATATTTAGAACTATATTTCAAGACATGATAGTAGAGTTTCTACTCTACATACATACATCAATAATATTTTGAAAATTTTATATTATGAATAAAATAAAAAACTAGTAGTAGTAGTTATAAATAGACTGCTTAATTATTACTATGGTTTTGCAAATAAATAGTATGGAATAAAAAAAATAGACAAACTCATGAAATTCATCAAAAGGTAGGGTCTTAAACTTGCCAATTCCCCAGAGCCTATCAAGCAAAAGAGAAAAAAAAAATTATATATACTTAAAGGCTGCAACTTTCTCTAAATTCATTGAAAATTCAAAAGTGTTAATTATGATGATACTTATATGATTCTTTGAAACAGCTAATCTCCAAATCAGTTCAAAGTCTGGCTCTTATATGTTTCTCCGCCAATGTTCTTAACAAGATACTACTATATGATTCTATATACCACATTGTTAGTTAGACGATGAGTTTATAAATAATTATAAAATTTGCATAAACACAATCGAATATTATCTACCAACCAAATCAAAATTTGCATAGAGAATGTTTATACGGATTAACAATCATGACTTGAGTTGTTATTTTTGTTTAGAGAATAAGTTTAGAGGGAAACTTAATGATGTGTTTCAAAATAGAATAATTGCAGTTCTCTAAAGCGGAAGCATCAACTATGCTTTTTCATAAAATATTACTATAATGAATTGAAATACCAAATCCATTCACCAAAATACTAAAATGAATTATCATTAGCAAAATGCTATAATATAATTTATCTAGGCGAATTTAATATACGTAGATAAATATTGGGTTTGGTACATAAGTATTGCACAATTAAATTACAGAAAAAATCAAAAAATGGTTTTATTGGTAACAGAGAGATATGGTGGTTGGGTTAAGGCAAGACAAAGTGGTTGATTTTGAAACCAAAGGGTTGATGAGTACTAATAGTTTAATTTAATTGCCTAAAAATCATGATTAGGGAATTAAATAAAATTATACGATAAAGAAAAAGCCAAAAGGAAGAAGATAAAAAAGGTGAAATGAGAGTGGAAATAATTAGTGTTGTCAGGTCCCAGAGGTGTAAAAAATATTAATACTGTTTTCCCCAACTTAATTAATTTTACTTTTATTTGGGAATCTAAAGAGATAATAAAGGTAAGAAACAAAAAACTAGGTGATTTTTATAAGTTTTTTAAAACAAACATATTTGCACATAAATGCTGGGATTTTGTTACCCATTATTGTGTCAACAAAAATCAATTTTGTTTATTCAAAAGTGAAAAAAAAACTTTCATGAAGACAAAGGAAAAGAAATATGACTAGAAAAATATGTCATTGTGTTAATGACCGTAATTATAAATCTTATCTCGAATATAAAAATTACTATACATTGCTTGATGAACAATGGCACTTCAAATCGTACTTTAATTTGTACCTCTAGAAGGGTTTATATAAGAAATTAGCATTCTTAGTGTAAAGTGTTTTAGAAGAATATACTTAGAAAAAGTTTGCTTATTTTAGTGTTTGTGTTAGCTAGGTATGACTTATGGAGTATAGTTAAAATAAAGTACGATATCTTAATATATATAGTTGTTCTTAAATCATACTAGTAGATGATTATGAGACGATTAGTGTGACTTAGTGAGCAATTTGTAGGATTTAAAACCTCTGTCAAGTTTAGTTAATGGATTACTGCTTTGTAAAGCTAGAATACTATCAATTTTGCAATAGCTACGTTCGATACTAAACACTAATTAAACTTACCATTCGAGCAAACATGCTTGATAGACTATTATACTGCCTTAAAATGTGTATGTGATGTGATATCAATCACAAGTCGATTTTACTGAATAACAAAAAGTGCTTGGATATTTTTTTGCTTATCAAAATTTGTTAGCTAATTCGATGCATAAAAATGTCTTTAAAAAATGTATGGTAAAATATAGTTAGAGAACTATAGTTAATGCTATGTTTTAAATTTTAGTATAGTGTAATAATTTTAATTTTATTTACTTTTTTATAATGTTATGAAATTAAATTAAACTGGATAAATTTTATTTGTTATGTTAATTTAAAAGACCGACATAGTTCACTTAATTATATATATACATGTCTATATGCATAGGGGGGAAAAAGAGGGATAAAGTGATAGAAAAAGGGATTTGATAACTTGATTGCTGTAGAGGGAAAGTATCATCATCTTTTAGTTTTGGGGAGAAGAATCCCACACTTCTTTGTTTTTGATTGATTTTGTATATTGCTATAGATGTACATCATTGTTTCTAATGTTTCTTTAATTTTATATCATTTTCTATATTTAAATTATCAGAAAATAATAAATAATCCATATATATATATCTCACAGTATATTTCGAAAATCATAAAAAAAAAAAACATTCAATAAATCACTTTTAAAACAACAAGAAAACATTAAAAAAAAAATTCAAATTTTTGACTTCTTTGATAAAGAGAGAAAACCTTTTCTAGCCTCCGCCACACTTGATACAAATGCAAATACATTTCACTTCGAAAAGTTACCTTAATATACAACCATAAAGAAGAATGTGCGTTTTTATTTCTTATTCGCTAAACTATTGCACTTACAATTTTTGAATTTATCACATTATTTTTACATTACACCTCAAGCAAATTGTAAATTTTGATTATACCTTTTACAAATATACTAGTAATATCTTTTGTTTATAATTATTAAACTAAAATATTAGGCATAAAAATGATTTAATCTTAAAAACTGTACTAAAAATACAAAACAATGTTTTAAAATGATATGAATTATAAATAGAAAAAATAAAAACAGTACAAATTAGTCGTATATGATACCAATACTAAAGTCTAAAACTAAAAAATATCATTTAAATAATTTTTTTTATTTTGTGATTGCAAAAATCAAAACGATATACATCCCAGTATTGGTATGGTATGACCAATGAAATCGAATACAAAAATAATACAATGTATAGGTACAGGACAGTAAAGTACAAAGTATAAAAATACGAATTCGAGTGAGTAGTCACTATTGGAGAAACTCATAATGTATAATTTGTTTTTTCATTGTCCTCTAATTTACCAGCAGGCTAGGATAATTGCATACATGCGTACAAAGGAAGACTCCATCTTTTTGTATTTTTATTTTATTTTTGACCCCATCTTCTTTTATATTCGTTTTTAACCCGTACATTTCTTTAAATTCTCAATTCTCACCTTTTTTTCTTTCTTTCGTTTACTTTTACTTTTCTTTATATGAATAGACCAAACGGTCAAATATTTGGGCCCCTATCCTTTTTGCATAATTTTTAGTAATTTATTTTCTTCCTCTTTTTTAAATTAATTAATTTCTGATGTTAATGTGGGTTTTTAATAAAAAAGTAAAGCTTAAAGTCTCATAATTACAGCATGGGGGTATAAAGTTTTTTTCTTCATATAAAAAGAAATCATTTCAACATTTCAGATTATTATTATTACTATTACTGCCAAATACTATTAACTTTTACTTTTTCTTTTAATTAAAAAAAAAAATTCCTCAGCCTTTTTTTTCTCTTCTTTTGTCCTTTAGTGGTCAGTCTAATATAGTATATTGTTTTCCCCTTTTTTACTGACATTATATTATTATTACAAAAAACAAAATAAAGTAATTTAAAAATCTAATTTTGTTTTTAACCAGGACAAGGAGTAGTAAATAGATTTACTAAACACACGTGTTGGTTTACTATTGGCTTAAAGTCTGTTTTCTCATTTTATATTAAACAGAAAAGGAATAATCCATTTTCGGATATGCCCGATATCCCACGGAAGTAGTGGAGGACAAAAACGTAATTTTATAATTACCACAATTACTGACACGTCTCCTGTAAAAAGGATTCACCACTACGCTAAGATTAAAAAAACGACAAAAAGAGTAAAAACCATCTCTTCCCACTATTAGGAGGAAGTTAAACGGTAAAAAAAGAAAAAATTATTATCCGACGTGGCGTAACAGTGCCTAGTCAGCAGTTTTTTTTTTAATCTTTGAGGCTCTTCAGCTTCGGGATCTCTCTCTCTCTCTTACTCCTTTATAAGATTAAGCCAACTCCTCTTTACCCACACCATCCACACACACATACACACATTAAGAAAAAAAAATAACAAATTCAATCACTAAAATACGTTTTTCTTCTCTTATTGATAAACTCTCTCTCTTTCTCTTTCTAAGATTTGTCGCTTAACCTTTTTGGAATTCTCCGGCGATGAATCTCGCCGGGAAAATGAATATTCCGGTTATTATATCTGTTTCTGTTACTAGTAACGCCGTCGACTTTTACCATCGCCGTCATGTCTTCCGTGAAAAATAAAAACTCTGATCCTTCTCTTAGACTTTTTTTTGTTTTGTTTTGTTTTGTTTTGTTATTATTATTATTTGCTTCGTTTTTGTGAAGATGATCCGCTGATTTCAGAAGTTTCCCTTCTGGTTTTTAGCTGAGAGGTTTTGGTAGATTCTCTTTCTTTCTTCCAATTTTGGAAATTTTTGGAGATTTTTAGTTTCTGTTGAAGAGATCTGAGATATTTGAACCGAAGCAGAAGTGTATATGAAAAAAAAATCAAATCTGTGAAAGTTCTTTTGAATTTGAATTGACTTGGTGGTTTGGGACTTTGTGAAGAAGAAGAGAAAGTTATATAGATCTTCTTCTTTTGTTTGAGCTATGCCATTTACGATGAAGATCCAACCGATTGATATCGACTCTTCTTCTCCAGCCGTCGTAGTAGCTCGAGCTGAATCAGGTAGCAACAACAACAAACCGGTTCTCAAATCTCGTCTCAAGCGTTTGTTCGATCGTCCCTTTACAAACGTATTGAGAAACAACGCAACAACAACCACCGAGAAACCATTCGTAGTTACCGGTGGTGAAGTTCAGATATACGGCGGAGGAGCTGTGACGGAGTTCGAGCCTAGTTCCGTTTGCTTAGCGAAGATGGTTCAGAACTTTATTGAAGAAAACAATGAGAAGCAAGCTAAATGTGGACGTAATCGCTGCAATTGCTTTAACGGCAACAACGATAGCTCTTCCGATGATGAATCAGATCTATTCGGTGGTTCAATCGACGGCTGCGACGCTTCTGATCATCTCAAGGTAAACAACAACAACAACAACAAATCTCACTTGTTTACTCTTTTGAATTACCTGAAACTGAATTTGAATTTTCCGATCTTAATCAGAGTTTGGTCCCGTGCACAACCGTCGCCGAGAGGAATCTGTTAGCCGACGCGGCGAAGATTGTGGATAAGAACAAATCGGTGAAAAGAAAAGACGATATGAAGAAGATCGTCAACGAAGGACTCTTATCTCTAAACTACGATTCTTCAATCTGCAAATCAAAATGGGATAAATCTCCTTCGTTCCCAGCTGGTAAAGATCTTCTTCATCGTCTTCAACAACTTTTTTTTCTATGAACATGGAGATTGTGTGACTGATGAATTTATATATAATTTACAGGTGAATATGAGTACATAGATGTGATAATCGGAGAAGAAAGGTTAATAATCGATGTAGATTTCCGATCAGAGTTCGACATAGCGAGACAGACGAGTGGCTACAAGGCTTTGCTCCAATCTCTACCGTTCATCTTCGTCGGAAAATCTGATCGGTTGAGTCAGATCGTGTTTTTGATATCGGAAGCGGCGAAACAGAGCTTGAAGAAGAAAGGGATGCATTTTCCTCCGTGGAGGAAAGCTGAGTACATGCGATCTAAATGGCTTTCTTCTTACACGCGAGCTTCAGCTGTTAACGCCGATAAGCAGCCGGAGACGGAGGTTGCGGCGGCGGTTACGGCGGAGTTGGTGGATTGTGTAGAGAGTGAGCTGGTTTTTGAGGAGAAATGTTTATCTCCGAGAGTGAATATTAATTCTTCTTCTTCCTCCTCTCCAAACAACGCCGGAGATGATGACGTGGCGGTGGAGAGAGAAGTGAAGGCCGTCACCGGATTAGCTTCACTCTTTAAGGAAAAGCCCTGAATAATAATAAAAAATTTTGGAAGTTTTTTTCTTCTTTCTTTCTTTTTCTAATTTTCAAGGTAAAAAAAAAATATTATAACATTACCATATTATATATTCGCTTTTATCTTTTACTTTTTTTTTTACCTTTTTTTTTTTGTAGTTGTTTTGACATCTCTTGTTTTTTCTTTACAAGGGGTTTTTATTTACCACTTTGTATTTAGTTAAAAACAAAATAAATAAATTTTACTTATTCCCAAATATATCTAAAATTTAGTACTTTACGAAACTCAAAAAAAACACCTGAGAAATCGTGCAGTGGATATAAATTATTAATCCCTTATCAAAATTTTTATGTGTAATCTTAAAACGATACCGTTTAATATATGTAAGCAAATGAGGGAACATAAGAGTATGACACGATCTTTTTTAATTTATTTGGTTTCTCATCTTTTTATAAAAACACTTTGATTAATTAAACGTTAAGCGTTACTAATTAGTAATTTACTAATCTGTTTGTTTTAATATAAGTTTTTGATTAAAAATGACGACAGCATTGAGAGAAGAGAGAAGCTCGTGGGATCTCGATACTTGTGTGTGGAGAGGAGAGTGTGCCAGAGCTGTTCTTGAACAACGTCTCTTATTCTCTTTTCTTTTTTTTTATATGCTTTGGAACTAATCCAAAGTTTTTTTTTCCTTAATTGTTTTGATTTTTTTATTTTATTTTTTGTTTCGATAATCTCATTTTTATTTCTTTATTGGAACAACTTTAGACATTTCCCAAAATCATGACACGTTAAAACTTGGTTTGGTCCAATTTTTTTTTTTTTATTTTATGGTCAAATTTTGGCTCCTCCAACTAACTAATAAAACCGTATAGCTTTGGTGGATTTATAGAATAACAATATGGATAATGAAAATGGCTATTTATAATATGGATTTATGATAATGAATAATGAAATTAATATATATTTTATTTTGGATAGTTTATGTTAAAATTTAAAAATAATTCTTGTTATTTTGTAACTCTAATTATTAGTAGAGGGAAAGTTAAATATGTATACAAATACTTTAAACATTAATATGTATGTTGAGTCATCAACCTAAATAATCGAGAGGGACCAAACTTACAAATGAAAATGATAGAAACTACAAAACACAGTTAACCTAGAATGCGGAGATTATATATAAATCAAAATTGAGGTTAATTTGTAATATGTTAGTTAATTTTCAGTTATTGTGATGGGTTTTGTAACAACGTATGCGAGAGGTATTTATGTATTTATGTGGTTCGAATGTAAACTGGATTTGATATTTTGTTTCTAAGAGATCAATAAATTTTGGAAGATGATTTTTATTTATTTATTTATTTATTTATTTGTCATGTTGCAATTCAATTCAAAGGATTAAAAAAAAAAAAAGATTTTCAGTGGCTCGTGCTTGTAAAACGTGTTGGATATTTGTTCATGAAGTACCCATCGCCTGATCAGCTTATGTAATATTTTGTTTAGGATTTCTAAAATAGAAATATTTTGACACTTTGTGAACACAATAAATCAATTTTTCTTCTTCTTTTTTATTTTTTATTTTTTTTTGCTTTGTTCTCAAGATAAAAAAAAAATCTATCCTTTTCACTATAAATATAAAAATAAAAATATTTTGTTAGATTGATGTTTCCATTGATGTTGAAAAAATCCTATCCCTTTCACTATACAATATAAAATAAAAATTATAGTTTAGACCTATCTTTAATCAATAATCAACGTTTCAGTGTTAAATATAATCTATAATTATATTACTGGTATCAATAAATATCATCTTTTACCATAAAAAATCAATGAATCATTGTGTTTTACATGATCATTATTGATTTGTTTTTTTTTTGTGTGTGGTTAAGGCGAATACGTATAGTTGTGATGCAATCATAGAAATTTATATGTGGTTGACGTTATTTCAAGTTCCATGGCGTTGGTTAACCACACAAGCAATGATCAACAAAACTATGATTGATCATATATATGTAAAGAGTTTTACTACATTGGAGATTTTACATAAGATCATGGATTCAATACTCCTAGTTTTTAGATCATTCCCAAATCATAAGATTTTATAACGTGATCCACTGATCATTTGTAAAATATATACAATCCATAGAAGAAACCAAGCCACAATTACTTAAAGTGTATATTACTTTTTTTTTTGCATGAAGCACATTATGGTTAACTACTAGCTAATTAATAACATAAGTGATTAAGTTCAATCTAATATCCCTCGAGTCTCACATATATATCTCTTCAACGAATCAATTAGTTGATGTTCTCACCAAACCTCTAATAGTAAATTTTATTTAATAAGTGTTAGTCAAGATTGGTTTTGCAAAGCGTGGACCATCTTGAAGACATATAAAAACATATAGATAGTTTTGTTCAAGATCTCAATCTTATCTCTTCATGTACTTGTATATACCGATGTACTTTTTGTAACATAATTCAAGGAAATACGTTTCCCTAGTCAAATAAGGATTTGATGTGGAATACGAATACGTAATGATTTTTAATTTTTCTTTGCTATTTGGATATTTTTTTCATAAATTAATAGATAAGCATAAACAAGCAAAAATGCGTTAAAAATTGAGTTAAATTTTGGAATAAATGATGAAGAAAAAATAATAAATGAACCATATGCAACAACTCATCATCTATAAGTTATAAAGATTAACCTTAGTCATTTCACGAATTTGATAGAAAAATAACACAACGTATGCAACAACTCATCATCTATAAGTTATAAAGATTAACCTTAGTCATTTCACGAATTTGATATCATATTCCATACGTTACATTTTTTCAGCTAGAATGGTTTTAGATGGTCGTGAACAAAATGCTTGGAAAAATTTGATATCATATTCCATACGTTACATTTTTTCTTGTCGTAATTAAGTCTACACTTCTTTTTTTTCATCAAGTCACTTGAATTGCCATGTCTTGTCAGAACTTTTTCAAAATAGAAATTGAATGTCTGTAAAACAGTTAAATGTCTTCTTCTTTTTTTCCTGTCAATAGCCTAAACCAAAGTATTAATTTTACATGAACCTAACCTAACCCAACTGTGTTCCAGATATAACTATGTGATTATTAACTATGTTTTTCTTTATAAACACATATCATATCATATCGATTTATATATATATATATATATAGATGTAATGTATCACAATCATTGATGTGGGGGCACTAGTCAATTCATCCATAACTATAGTATTTATTATCATTTGTTATTATTATTATTTTTCATATGTCATATTATAAAAAAAACATATTTGTTTTTATATATTTGAATTATTATTATTTAGACAATAGGGTAGGGTCGATTTACAACAATTTCACAAGCTGTGGGCTCTTTTATTTTCCCTTTTCTTATTACTATCCACTTCTTTCTTTTTTTTTTCTTGATTTGACATTTTTTGCACGGGTAGAAAAATATAATTTAAACCATTTTCATTTAATTATCTCTATACTATTATTATCTTTTTGGTACGTTTCTCTTTGTTACCAAATGGAAAAAAAGAAAAGAAAAAGAGAAAGTAATATTAAACCATGGGGGTTAGATTAGATTTAATGTCTATAGAAAACGACTCTTCACCCACTCATTTTAATAGTTTTTTAATTTTATTTTGGAGATTATCTAACTTTGTTTAATTTTTCTCACTTGAGCTTTTTTGGGCTAATGAGCCAATCAAGGTTTCTGCACTAAAGTTTTATTAGTTTAATAGCTTATTGCACAACCAACTTGTGTTATGTATTGTTTTGTCAATTATTATTTTTTGAAACCCCTCACATGAACGTTACGATCGATTTGTTTATATTATAAGGTTGTCTATGTAGATAGAGATAGAGAGGCATCTTTTTTTTTTTTTTTTCATAAGCCAGCATTGAATATATCATTAGACAAATTTTAAAAAGTGCTTTTCCTTTAATGTTGAACAATTGAAAACTTACTACATACTCTCTTGTCTGTTTTTATTTTTTATTTTTTGGTTCTCCCATCTCTCTTTTTTACTTTTGGAATTTACATGTCTCACATTTTGTTTATAACTTTTTTGATATAGTACTCGTAGATATATAGATGACTAGGTTATTAGGGTTTAAGATGTTTTGAGAATTTTAAGATCCATTATATTAGGGTTTGCTATATAAATTATGTATAGGTGAGTGTTAGATTTATGAGAAAAAGCAAAGAGAGACACACGGAGGAGATGTGAAGAGAGACTTATCCACTTTGACATAAGACTTGGGGAATATTAGGTGACAACATGTGATTCCTCTCCTCACTCTATAGCTCATCCTTCATTTATTTTTCTAGTTTTTGCTTTAAAATTCGTTTTGATTTTTTATTTATTTTTAATTAAGATAGAAGAACTACTCAATTTCATCAACCTGATTTGGTCGCACTTGCATTATAATGTTCATTGGTTCAAGTTTTCCCTGATGTCTATTATTACAAGATGATGTCCCATAATAAATATTATTTTCTATAGATGCCAAAAGAATCAAAAGATCAGCAATGGTGTTTCCATCCATAGTTTGGATTCAATTTGGTTTTGAGTTTTTTGGATCTTAGGATTCTTGATTTATAAATACTATTATATATAAACCAAAAATCCTAGTTTTAGTTCGTGAGTTTTTAATTAAATATTCTTAAACTTTAAATAAGTTTAGATGTTAGATCATTCTTAAGTAAGTTAAAATTTGCATTTTTCATATGTAAATAATGAATCTGATTATACCATTATGTATAGTTTGATTTTTGGATATATTATTCGATTTGGTTTGAATTGTATTAGATTGGGTTACTTGAATTGAACACTAATAACTGTTATTTTATATTAAGGAATAATTCTTTATTAGATTAAGAAATTAATAAATTTGGGTTCACCTAGACAAGTTCTATTGATTTTAAATATATTTATTTATGGTTCTTGTTCGCATATTGTTTATTTAATTCAAATGATATATATAATCTAATTATAAGTTATATACAAATTATAATAATAT